AAATGAGTTCCATCCCACTCGTCTTAACTTTAATTCTAAATACTATAGGTAAGATGCCGATTCGGTGGACGGCGATTGAAGCTCTTGACACTCAGGAGTTCACATCACAGTCTGATGTCTGGTCCTTCGGTATCCTGATGACTGAGATCCTGACCAAGGGACGAGTTCCATACGTAGGTAAGACACTGTCAACATGTGTACTAGATTGTGAGTGTTGACTAGCCTTTTCGCATGCTTCTTGGAGCAGCAGAATTTTTTTTTTGGGGGGGGGGCTGAAATGCTGTGTTTCATTTGTTTGTTTGCAGGCGTCCCTCATCTGAAGCCGTATTCCCGTTTAGAACTTTTATTCAGCCTGTCACGCGACATATACTACGTACTTTATACTACATAGGACACGCACATATGTTTACATTGATGTTTGTTTTTCGCAGGATGGGACAATGATACCGTGATAGCCCAGGTCCGCCGGGGGTACCGCTTGCCTGCGGAGGACGACTGGCCCGAATCCCTGTACGAGATCATCAAGCGGTGCTGGGACAGAGAACCGCAGAGACGACCAACGTTCAAATACCTCAATCGCATCCTGACCGGCTACTTTGCCGATGGAGAATATTGTTAAATATACATGAAGACAAAATATTCGTAGTATTACAACTAACAATCGATGCAATCTATAAGCTACAGAGAGAATTAATTACACGTCTACACGTAACTGTATCTTCAACGGCAGCATGCAACTAACCTGCAAACAGCGCGCCACTTTAATTTATTCAACAATTTGAAGATGTCAGACATCCATGGTGTTTACAAGTTACAACTGTGTAAGGGGGTGTGGGTGTGGAAATCTCACATGAGAAAAACACGAGATACAACGTAATATGTTTGCAATATCTTTTTTGCAATCCTCTTCTGTAACTTGGAAGGGAAAAGCACCAGCTGTCAAGGAGGTCATGTTACGAAAAACATTACCATATCGACAAAGGAAGACCAAAAAGATCTATGGATATCGTTATAATACAATTAATAAAATAATTTCTTATATAATAAAACAGTATTTTTATAATTCATGAATTCAATATGAAGTATACATTCAATATAATCCAAACACTAACAATTACTAAATATGCACTATCATATGAGGGTCGATTTAAAAAAAGTGTATCATTATAGCATGGCCTATGAGTACTAGTGCTATTATAGTGTCCTAACGCATATCAGGAGGACCACCCCTACATGACTTAGTTCCGCCCACTAGGTCAGGTGCTACGGGACGGTCACTCAGAAACTCTGGCACAATCAGTCTACCTAAAGCCCGGACTAAGAGACTTAGCAACTCGTTCCTTCATTGTGCTGTTCGCCTCTATAACAAGACAATCCAACAGTAGTGTTATATATATTGTACCTAGCTAAATTCTTCGTGATAGCTGCATATTATGCATAGATTTTAAGTTGTGTAATCGTCTTCGAATATGTCTTAATATTGTGTTCGCCTATGTTGTTTCATGTGCACAATGAAGAGTGTCACAAATCATTGTTTTTAAATGCTCTATGTACTATGTAATAAGGACGAAATTTGGGTATTCGCCCGCGAGAGCCTTAATGAATAAAAAAAATTGAAATTTGATTTATTAGTTCAATATATGTGTAATCATGAGTCTCAAGATGTTTTATGTTTGTTTTGTTTGTTTATTATAATTACAAGTGCATTTCTGCGAAGAAAATTCAGCATTGCATTAATTTCAAAAATGAGATTGTTGGCATTTCTTCCTAAAGATTTCCTATTATTCGACAAAGGCATATTTCTCATCCAAACAAAAGTATTTCCTACGCGCCAACCATGTTTAGAATATCAATGCAGACCAAATATTTTCATCTGTTCATTCTGCCCATTCTATAAGAGTACTTTGAAATTTACTGGTACACATTAAAACATGTACACACACGACGTCACAGGTCAAAGGACAGATAAACACTATCAGGTTACATGCACAGAAGACTTGGAGCGGGTCCACCACTGAGCCGTTGCCAAAAATAGTGACCTCATACACTGGAGCATTGGTAAAAGCGGGGATGTCCCATTCGAACACCCTGTATTATGTACAAAATATAGTAGCCCGCATCAATTTAAGGTTGTAAGGCTAAGTGATTGTATTATGGATATTTATATGTATTTCAAGAAAACATATGAATATCATATGAACTATTTTAGGTGTGTTTCTTAATCCATTCTGCCTAGAGTGACGATATGAATTTAGGAGTTTAGCCTAGGTGCCAGGCTCCGGAGTATATAGGCTAGCTTCATAGTTCCAAACCCACATTCCCCCAATACGATTTTACCACAAACACCCTTCAGTTTAGACACTGTCATGGTCTAACCGAAGGACTGGCCTGTGTACTGGGCTCTGACTACACATTATCCGGTATCCACTGTATGACAGTCCGACTTTTATATAAACCCGACGAACCAAACATGGCGGCGGGTCGGGAATTAGAGGATATCAGTTCACGGTCGATACCCCGACAATTCGACCTCCTCCCGAACAACCACGACTACCCAGACCGCTCCATGTCTCTCAACTCCGACCACGGCGAATCTCTCGACTACCTGCAAAGTTTCAACGAGAGAAACTCACACCTAACCTTCCAAAGATCCCTAGACGACTCCGATGATGAGCCTTTGTTGGATCTTGACGAAGCGGGCCCTTCCTGTAACCATACGGGCCCGTGTTCGTGTCCGACCGACGGGACGTCCGGGACGCCACGGCGGCCGCGCTTCAGAGATAAGAAAGCCAGGAACCAACTGATCATCTGCTGTGTGCTCTGTTTCCTCTTCATGATAGGAGAATTCATAGGTAAGCTTTAGTTGTAAACTACCACATGTTAGAGACTGAATCAAAAAGTGGGGAGGGGGGCGTGGCGGAAGTGTTTGTTTTGTATGTCGCAATATATTAAACTCTTACACCTTTGTTTATTTCGCATTTACGTCACATATCCTTGACCTTTTACTACTAAGATGTAGAGGAGTTGCACGTAGCATGTTAGCGTTCGTAACACTTGACATTTGTTTTATTTTATTTGAATAAGACAAGACTAAAATGAAAAGATACATTTTGTAGTCAACATTTTGACGACACTTTCTGTATTGCCCAGGCAGCATTAGGTACACCCAAACTTAATGGTGTACCTAAAGGCCACATTATGTACACCATGGTGTACCCTGTTCAGGTTCAGGTCTGGATTTGAGTCCAGGGGTTTAGCCTTTAGGTCCAAAACCTAAACCCAGGGCATATACAAAATACAGCAGGGACATTGAACATCTCCCAGTGGATTATGGGGCAAATTTTGTAGGGCACACTTTGCTACCAGGTTTGAATTAGAAGCAAGATATGTTGTTTGAGTGGCATGACTGGGCAAAACTATGATTTACCATATCCACACAAGAGTTTACGGATACATGGGATACATGACATAAGCAATTGATCACACACTATTTTAATGTTCTACTAGTAACTACATGTATATTCCCAGGAGGTTACCTGGCCCACAGCCTGGCGATTATGACAGATGCTGCCCACATGTTCAGTGACTTCGGCAGTTTCCTGATCAGTCTGGCTGCACTGTGGATAGGATCCCGCCAACCAACAGATAAAATGACATTTGGGTACTACAGAGCAGGTTAGGACTTAACCAGTAGAAATACCAGCTCTAGATCTATATGTTTAATTATGTTATCTTTAAGATATTTTTCACCTGATCTTTTCAAGAACCGAGGTCCTTGAAACCTACCCTTGGTGTCATCTATTTTAACGTGGCTCCTTGCACAGGTTAATTCATTCAGGTACAAAACAGATGGGTCCTAATTTGCTAATTCAAACCTTCATATTTTCGCTATCGTATCTGTGTGTTCAATGTATGTACAGGGTTCGAAATACCATCTGCATACAGTATCACTATGCATGTTAGTGCAGGTAAAATTGGAGCTGTGCAGGTATTTCCGATGTCTACCCACCAATGAAGTAAAAAAGAAATAATGGCAATGGTTTCTGAACAGTTTTATATGATCCGTACATCCTCAATGCTGACTGGTACAGGTAATATCTGATGTTACGTGCACCAGTGCAGGTATGCTGAAAAAAATAATTTGTGCCCTGAGCATGAGTTTGCTATGATCTATAATTTGTCCACCTTTCAGAGGTTTTGGGTGCTCTGGTGAGTGTGCTGATCATCTGGCTACTGACAGGGATACTGGTATATGAGGCTGTACAGAGGATCATCTACAAGACTATACAGATAGAAGGGGACACCATGCTCATTACAGCTGGCTGTAGTGTAGCTTTTAACATCATGTAAGTAACTGTGATAGTGAGAGTTAGTGAGTGTCAGTGAGTGAGTGAGTGATTGATTGTGAGTGAGTGTCAGTGAGAGAGTAATCGTGAATGAGTGAGTGAATGTAAGTGAGTGAGTGACTTTTCAAAATGGTCTCAAATCCTTCTGTGTAGCTATTGAGATTGTTATTACTGAATACTGCTTTGTACTGTGTTGATTTTGATAGAACCACAAGAATTGTTCACAACAAATTAAAGTGTTCATGGTGTTAATGTATAGCTAGTACACACAGTATTCAAATCTAGAAAATAATGCATAAAATGTTGTGAATGTTTTCCACAGATTGACTATCATACTGCATTTCCAAGGGAGGTCACATGGGCATTCACACGGAGGTGAGTTTACATTGTGACTAATGTGAGAGTGTACAATGTACATGTATACAATCATTGAACTTTAGACTACTAACAATGTTTACGCGCTTGATGTGAACTTTGGAAGAATGCCACAACTGTGGAACTGATACTTAAGTAGTTGTAGAATGCATGTTATAATGGCACTATCAATAAAGACTGATGCAATCTTTCAGTTCACTTTTCTTTGCAAGCACAGTATAACCTGTACATGTACAAGTGAAAACCTCTACATGTACATAAGGACCACCTGGCCAATATGACCACATTTTGGTGGTGACAAGTCCCTTAGATTATTTTCTCTTTTGACACAATCCCTCTATAGTGACCACCTGTCCACATAAACCTGATTTTATTGGTCCCTTAAGTGGTCTCCTTGGGTAGTTTTGACTGTGCGTTTCTTTGCTTACGGTAAGTTATTTATTACCCCCAATAAATGTCTTTATTTTGTCCTTATTAACCTTCCCCCAACTACCTAACCCAGTTAGCATTACAAATGTGGTGCCAAACAACCACCCTAGCAGGCTGAAGGTTAACCTCTTGAATTATGATATGTAGGGACTCAGAGGGTAAGCGATGGAGAATCTGGAGGCAGAAACATCAACGTGAGAGCAGCCTTCATCCATGTACTTGGTGACCTTCTCCAAAGTGTGGGAGTCCTCATAGCTGCCTACATCATCAGATATAAGGTAAGAGCCAGAAATACATTGCCTATTTACACATACCAAGCCTGTGTCTGCACTACCATCCATAGGTAAAGTGTTGTGCTTCACCACATTATAGGCACTGACTGTCAGGTAATAGGACATACATGTAGTACCTCCAACATTAATTGTCCTGTTGAGAATATATTTATTATATCTGCCCTGTAGGTTTTCCTGTGTTTCATATTTTTTTCTACATGCTAGGCATATTGTGAACACAGACAGGAAGTTAGGTCAAAGGTCCCAGTAAAGGTCATGCCATTTCTTGTCTTTAATAATTTCCTGCCATGTTTATGTCTATTACCTTTTGTGAGCCAGTTAAGGAAAATACATAGAAAAAATCAGTGAGAAATTTGCGGCAATAAAAATTAAATAAGAGAAGAAATTAACAACTTACAAGATCCCTGTCTAATACATGCAGGGTATTTCACAGATGTATGAGATGTTTGATTTCTTGTTTCCCAGCCGGAGTACCAGATAGCAGACCCCATCTGTACGTTCCTGTTCTCAGTGCTGGTGCTGGTCACCACATTCACCATACTAAGGGACACACTCAGGGTCCTACTGGAAGGTAACTCTAGGTTGTCTAGCCATTCTTGTATTTCTGCATATCAGAAATGTTGCTTGCTTCTCATCTCACCCATCCCTTAGTCTTATTCATTGCCTTTTGTGGCATCACAGATGTTCTGACAACCAATTTTCTCTTGGTTTTTCTCCTCTGCTAAAAGCTAAACAGGCCAAAATCAGTGCGTTCGTGGATGTCATCCATAAAAATTACTTGGTGTGGCTTAAAGTTAGATATATGTTCTGTATTTCAGCAACTCCGCGGTGTATAGATGTGTGTGCAGTAAAGCGTGACCTGGCCATCCTGCCTGGAGTCAGAGGGGTCCACAACTTACATGTCTGGTCTCTTACTATGGACAAGAATGTGCTCAATGTGCACTTGATATTGGGTAAGTTGACATCAAACAAGGACAGACAATTATTCATGACATAGAAACATCAGAACAATTACCAGAGAATTTTTGATGCTACATGATATGATGTTTTTCTCCAGAACCTTTGAAAGGAATTTGAAGGCATTTCTCCCAAGCTTGACAATTTTGGATGCAATGTTCTGTCGTATTTATTATCAATCGGTATTTGTACGATTTTCAGCCCAAGATGCAGACCATGAGGCAGTGCTTCAGTCGGCCACATGGAGGATACGTAAGAACTACCCGATCCACCGCTGTGCCATACAGGTGGAGAAGGCCTGTCAGCCTTGTGTGCAGGAAACCAAAGGGGCAGTAGAGGGATAGCGCCTAGGAAAAAATGTTGTTTCCTGCTTCCTGACCAACACTAGAAAAAACTGACAACCCTAGCCTTTTATAGTCTGCAGGCAAGCTGGACACTCTATGGCCGGCCAACTCCTCTGGCAAATGATGTCCCCCATAGCCGATTTCTATTATATTCAGCCTGCAAAGGAGTCTGGTGGAGACTAGCCTTTTTATGTGGATCCCTGCAAGGGAATTGAATTTTTTAAGCTGATTGACCATTTCTAGCTCCATGATCTGACACCTGAGTGATGAAACGTTGTGCAATCAGTTTTCCAACATTGACATTGACAATATAAGTGTCCTCATGTAAGTTCTACTTTTTAAAACTGTATTGTACAACTTGGATCATAACAGATTGCCAAAGTAAACAAAAAAGATAATCCCTACCTACCGACCCTAATTTTTTCACAACTGAAGCAGGAAACACAACAATTTTTTCCTAGGCCTTAGATGTCTCCAATACTCTAAATCACTTACATTTATGGTACTTTTACATTCATGGTTCCATCAAAAACGGATTTTGCAGTCACTTTTGTACCGCAAATTTATCATTACGTCAAAGAAAAATTTGCCAACATTCTTTCTTCTGCGCCTGCCACCACATAAAGTATGTGAACATACAGTTCCGCGAACTTGTCCATTTTTCTCAGACCATGAAATTTTGCTACTGCGAATATAAAGTGATTTACAGTATTTTAAGGTTTAGCCATTTCGTCACCGATTGTTCATTGGTTACATGGATAGGGAGCGTGCAGGGAGAAGGCTAATACATCTATGTGTTACAAACCAAAGAGTTTTTAGCAAACATGCCAGTTGTACAGGATGATTTTATAGTGAAAAATTTACTATTATAATTATCTTTATTAAAATTGAAGTTCTTGATTGCAAGTTTATGCCCAAGGGCTAATTGCAAACTGACAATGACAAGGATAATATCTACAGTGGTTATCGAAAGGAGTTTTTGTTTACATGTAATTATGTATATTAGGGATATGCTTTTAATTGTGTGCATATTTCTGATATTTGACTAATAGTGAAAATAGTGAAAATTTTAAAAAGATGAAACATAATGAGGTAATGTTTTGCAAATACATGTATTTTTTTCTAGAGTTTGGTGATTACTTGATGATACATAGCTACTAATTCTTGTAATCATCTCTAGGGAAGAGTGGAATTATTGTGGAATTATTTAAAAAAGCAATGCCCATGACAACTTGATTGATAATACTACTAGTATGTTGAAAAGGAACAAACTAGTAAGCATACTGTATTATACATTCATGTCATAATTGTACATTATTCTTGTTCAATTCTAACTGGTTCTTCGTGGATAGGAAATGTAAATTATGTGATTGAATGTGAAAAAAATTGTACATAAGTGTACATAAATACTAATCCAATGTTTTGTGCAATGAGGATGTCCTTGTGACATACTTGATTTTGTTATGTATCTGTTACATGTCCATTAATGTTCTATATAGCAAATAAAAAGTAATCGTTAGGCTAGTAAATGTAATGAAGTAAGTGCCAAAACTTCTCCATCCATCTACATGTACTAGCTATAGGAGATCACAATATTTGTTATTCAGACTATATATACATGTGAAGGTGTTTTTTTTTAATCTGACATTGCTGTTTATAGGTCTCCCCTTCTTTGGCAGTAATGAACATGCTAACATAACTTTGTTCTAATAGCTTATTGTCGTTGTTTGCAATTGTATGCACATTTAAGAAATGACTATAGTTTTGATTGTGGAAGTTAGATGATTTCATATCATTCTCAGGTTTGGTTAATTCCAGTGTGACATAAATACAATTAACATTGTGTTCCATGTCTATTCCAGGAAACATTGCACAGTGAAATTTTAGGATACTGGATAGAATGCATCTTTAATAATGTGTATCTGAGTTAATTTATATAAGTTAAGCAAAAAAGTTTTGAGCTGATCTGCCATGCCAAATGAAACTGTAAGGGGAAGGACATTGAAACATTGACGATAAAACACCTCCAACTAGTTATATTTAGTTGTAAATATATTGCATAGAGGATGCACATTGGATCAAAACAAAAAGAGAAATTGAAGATTTCAGTTCTCATACTTCAGTGTTTTTGGTGAATTTCTGGTTTCATTCATGACTGTGCATTACTAGCTGATTCTCCAATAAGGCAACAGACATGCATACACGTATAGTAGGAATTTGCTACAGGGAATGAGATTTGTCTGTGAACAGCATAACCCTAGAAGCTATGGATGGATTGTCATTAAACTTTAAAGGTAGGTAGGTCTTGATGAGACCTAGAGATGATTAGATTTCGGGGCCCCCTGGCGGCTTTCGTTAGTACATATCTCATGCTAGGGTCACGAATATTCTGCATGGTAAATAGCTCTAGGGCTGGGGAAGAAGTGACATGAGTATAGTGTATCGTTCCGATACACTAAGCTTGCAATACACTGTTTCGTGTACTAGTCTATATATATTACATGTATGTACCCTGCGCGGGTCATCCTTGTAAATAGTAAAATTACCTCTCAAATCTGACGAATACGTGCACCAATCATCTAACGTAATCTTATCGACCAACAACGTACATTGTAACGCGGTACAAAGATCAACAGGTTAAGGTGCATTCAATTTTTTAGACCGGAAAGGTTGGTTTATAATTAAGTCCAAAGGTATAAAGTTCCAACGACTTTTAAATTGAGAAGCTGATCGTATTCGACTAAGTAAGAGGTACGTGTCTAACATCAAACATAGACCCAAGAAACCATTTGTGTCTTTGAATGGAGTGTTTACAACATGTTTTTCAACTATCTATGGCCTCGCGTAACGATTACTCACCCACTGTTTACAGTGTATATAGTAACACTGGCATAAATTTATTGGAACGGTATGATTTTATATTGCATATACATATTCTTTCACTCGTAACGTAACTATTCGCAGTCAGGTTATAGTGAGCTTGCTAGGTCACAGGTGATGTAAAAAGCACATGGCATGTTGTAAAGCCTGTCATAGGAACAAGTTACTACAGGTGGGTAAAAGGTTGGTGAGTGCAAAGGTCATATAGTAATAAGCTTACTGGGGCGTAATCTTTGGTGTATTATCAACTAATGGAGTCCGCCCAGAACTCGAAATACTGGGTGCATATGCACCTTAGTGCAGGTAAAAATGGAGCTGTGTATGGCAAACTTTACCAGCCAAAATTATTTCTTTCACATATTATTAATGTGTTGAAACTTAAATTTATGTCTATGCAAGCAAGATATGCATAGTGTAGTGTCACAACGTAACATGGAATAGAAGTGTCGAGCAATATACATATTGATACAAATTTACTCCAGTGCAATATGAACTTAAACAGGATACAAACGAAGGCACTGCATCTTTTTCCCGAAATGTTGCAGTAGCTCAAAGGAGTACAAAACGGCAATGATGCTACTGTATATCGTAAGCGCCGTGTGTAACGTTGCGCTGTGGCAGACTGTGTTTTGGAGACTGGCCCCGAAAGTCAACCTCTGGATCTTCCCCACCTACAAGAGACTGGAGAAAAAACTGAAGCTTCAGATGAATAGAAAGTACGTTGTTCCTTTTATGTTATCATGTGTTGATTTGTAAAGCTGTTGATTGTTAACTTTATGTTAGTCTTGCGGTTTAAAAATGCTGTACTTATTACGATTGTCGTGCAATATACTTTGAAGCTATTAGACATTTTGTTTGGAGTAAATGCAAATTAACTGATAATGATTTTTCATAAAAGCGATATTTTACACATGCCCCATTTCCTTTGATTAATAAACAGTTTGATACTTGATAACAGCTCGACCAGGTACATCTACAGCAATACATCTTGAAGAAATTGAAATTAACGTAGATGATTATAGCATTTTTAGATCAAATGGGATGGCATGAAAAAGGCAGTGTTATTTCTCTCTCTATTGCAATTCAAAACAATAGAATGTATATTTTTGTACATGTCCACAGCGTAAGCTCTGCTACCTGTAGCGGCATCCTGTCTCTTCTATCCTGGTACACCTTCCTCTTTAGACCCGATGTCAGCCCGAAACTGGTCGAGTAAGTATTCAACTTCGGCTTATCTATATTCATAGATAAGGTGAAAGTTGATACTTCGATAACCTAATATTGGCAATTTCGGCAGGTTTAGTTGTAAAACGTTTGTTCTCAAAATTTTTTGGGTTAATTTCTAATCGTTCAAGAGTCACATATGAATTAAATTAGCTTTTGCAATCTATCTTTGATTATATCCTGATATGATTTTCTATTATATTGACCTATCACCATATGGTACATGTTGCAATTGGTCTATATATTGTACCATGTGTAATACGTCAACTCTCTAGTGTAAATCTAAAGATTGTTTTTGTTTCCTTTTTTAAAGAATGGACCAACCGATCGTGAGACTCACCGTTTCCATCTTCTTAGGCCACACCATCTCAGGTAATTATGTTTACCGAAGGAAAACATATTGTCTTTGCTATGTTTCTTCTTTTCCAAACACATAAGGTCAATGACCTGAACCAGACGTCTGTCACCATGGTAATTGGTGTTGGGATATATTATGTTACAATCTTATAGCAGGAGGGATTTGGACTCCTCTCATCATATATGAATGTATTTGAGTAAGAATTAACAGAGCAGACCGTATGCGAAGGTAAACATTACGCCGTTGCTTTGCAATTTATTTAATATACATTTATGGTTTTACTGTACAGTAGTTCTAGAGAAAAAATGAATTTTTAACAGCTTAAATCTAGTTTGATAACTCTAGTACGTTACTTATTGATATCCAGAGATCCTTGCAATGGCGTATCAGGGGACGTTACTAGAGGAAAAGGCAATGTTGTGTCATCATGTGTCAAGCCTGTTTTCTGGATACGTGGGCGTGGTAAGTTGTGTTTACACACACGTCTGTTTGTTTGCTTGTTTAACCTCAACATCCACCTCAAAACTGACAAAAAGGCACTAAAGTTTTCTTAGCAAGTTCGACTGTTGTACACGTGTGCCAATATCAGTCCCTGTCTTATACTGTTCTATTGTCAGACACGTTGCTGGTTTCCATACTTCGTGGTCCTGTTCCTGATGTCAGAGTTATCCACACCCTTCGTCTCTCTGAGGTAAGTAATACATGTAGCTTTTATATAGCTACAATACCACCTGTACAATACAGGAAATTTGTATTCATAAAAGAGAAGTCACATGTCCTAATGTAAGTATACTTTGTTGGGATTTATTAGCATATCAAGACATGAATTTTCTCAGAAGTTTATTTCTATCTTTACGTTACTTTGCTAGTCTGAAGTATGACATCTAATCTCCAAGCAGATCTTTTGGTGGGGGTAAGACAGTATCAAATTGGCCAGTCTGTATCCAA